TGTATGAAGTGAGTACATGAGTTGAGTGTATGTAGTGAGTACATGAATTGAGAATATGTAGTGAGTACATGAGTTGAGTGTATGTATGAGTGCATGAGTTGAGTGTATGTAGTGAGTACATGAGTTGAGTGTATGTAGTGAGTACATGAGCTGAGTGTATGTAGTGAGTACATGAGTTGAGTGTATGCAGTGAGTACATAAGCTGAGTGTATGTAGTGAGTACATGAGTTGAGTGTATGCAGTGAGTACATGAGTGACATGAGTGTATGTAAGTACATGAGTTGAAGAGTACATTAGCTCAGTGTATGCTGGGCATGTAGTGAGTACATGAGTTGAGTGTATGTAGTGAGTACATGAGTTGAGTGTATGTAGTAAGTACATGAGTTCAGAAAGTATGTTGGGCATGTAGTGAGTACATGAGTTGAATGTATGCAGTGAGTACATGAGTTGAGTGTATGTAGTGAGTACATGAATTGAATGTATGTAGTGAGTACATGAGTTGAGTGTATGTAGTGAGTACATGAGTTGAGTGTATGCAGTGAGTACATGAACTGAGTGTATGTAGTGAGTACATGAGTTGAGTGTATGTAGTGAGCACATGAGTTGAGTGTATGAAATGAGTACATGAGTTGAGTGTATGTAGTGAGTACATGAGTTGAGTGTATGTAGTGAGTACATGAGTTGAGTGTATGCAGTGAGTACATGAGCTGAGTGTATGTAGTGAGTACATGAGTTGAGTGTATGTAGTGAGTACATGAGTTGAGTGTATGTAGTGAGCACATGAGTTGAGTGTATGATGTGAGTACATGAGTTGAGTGAATGTAGTGAGTACATGAGTTAAGTGTATGTAGTTAGTACATGAGTTGAGTGTATGTAGTGAGTACATTAGCTAAGTGTATGCTGGGCATGTAGTGAGTACATGAGTTGAGCGTATGTAGTGAGTACATGAGTTAAGTGTATGTAGTGAGTACATGAGTTGAGAAAGTATGTTGGGCATGTAGTGAGTACGTGAGTTGATTGTATGTAGTGAGTACAGAGGCTGAGTGTATGTAGTGAATACATTAGTTGAGTGTATGTAGTGAGTACATGAGTTGAGTGCTTTAGTGAGTACATGAGTTGAGTGTATGTAGTGAGTACATGAGTTGAGTGTATGTAGTGAGTACATGAGTTGAGTGTATATAGTGAGTACATGAGTTGAGTGTATGTAGTGAGTACATGAGTTGAGTGTATATAGTGAGTACATGAGTTGAGTGTATTAGTGAGTACATGAGTTGAGTGTATATCGTGAGTACATGAGTTGAGTGTATTAGTGAGTATATGAGTTAAATGAATGTAGTGAGTACATTAGTTAATTTCATGTTGGGCATATAGTGAGTACATGAGTTAAGTGTATGTTGGGCATGTAGTGAGTGCATTAGTTAAGTTCATTTTCGGCACGTAGTGAGTACATTAGTTAATTTCATGTTGGGCATATAGTGAGTACATGAGTTAAGTGTATGTTGGGCATGTAGTGAGTGCATTAGTTAAGTTCATTTTCGGCACGTAGTGAGTACATTAGTTAAGTTCATGTTGGGCATGTAGTGAGTACATAAGTTAAGTTCATGTTGGGTATGTAGTGAGTACATTATTTAAGTTCATGTTGGGCATGTAGTGAGTACATTAGTTAAGTGTATGTTGGGCATGTAGTGAGTACATTAGTTAAGTTCATTTTGGGCATGTAGTGAGTACATAAGTTAAGTTCATGTTGGGCATGTAGTGAGTGCATTAGTTAAGTTCATGTTGGGCATGTAGTGAGTACAAAAGTTAAGTTCATGTTGGGCATGAGGAGTGCATTGTTAAGTTCATTTTGGGCATGTGAGTACATGAGTTAAGTTATGTTGGGCAGCGTAGTGAGTACATTAGTTAAGGTATGGGCATGTAGTGAGTACATGAGTTAAGTTCATGTTGGGCATGAAAGAGTACATGTAAGTTATGTTGGGCATGCAGTGAGTACATTAGTTAAGTTCATATAGTTAAAGTTATGTTGGGCATGTAGTAGTACATTAGTTAAGGTATGTTAAGTATGTGAGTACATAAGTTAAGTGTATGTTGGGCATGTAGTGAGTACATGAGTTAAGTTCATGTTGGGCATGTAGTGAGTACATAAGTTAAGTTCATTTTGGGCATGTAGTGAGTACATAAGTTAAGTGTATGTTGGGCATGTAGTGAGTACATGAGTTAAGTTCATGTTGGGCATGTAGTGAGTACATAAGTTAAGTGTATGTTGGGCATGTAGTGAGTACATGAGTTAAGTGTATGTTGGGCATGTAGTGAGTACATTAGTTAAGTTCATGTTGGGCATGTAGTGAGTACATGAGTTAAGTGTATAAGCTATGTAGTGAGTACATTAGGGTTAAGTTCATTTCTAAGCATGTAGTGAGTACACAGGTTATGTATGTTGGGGCATGTAGTGAGTACATGAGTTGTTCATGTTGGGCATGAGAGTACATGTTGTTGGGCATGTAGTGAGTACATTAGTTAAGTTCATTTTGGGCATGTAGTGAGTACATAAGTTAAGTGTATGTTGGGCATGTAGTGAGTACATGAGTTAAGTGTATGTTGGGCATGCAGTGAGTACATGAGTTAAGTTCATGTTGGGCATGTAGTGAGTACATAAGTTAAGTGTATTTTGGGCATGTAATGAGTACATTAGTTAAGTTCATTTTGGGCATGTAGTGAGTACATGAGTTAAGTGTATGTTGGGCATGTAGTGAGTACATTTGTTAAGTGTATGTTGGGCATGTAGTGAGTACATGAGTTAAGTGTATGTTGGGCATGTAGTGAGCACATTAGTTAAGTGTATGTTGGGCATGTTGTGAGTACATTAGTTAAGTTCATGTTGGGCATGTAGTGAGTACATTAGTTAAGTTCATGTTGGGCATGTAGTGAGTACATTAGTTAAGTGTATGATGGGCATGTAGTGAGTACATTAGTTAAGTGTATGTTGGGCATGAAAGTGAGTGAACATTAGTTAAGTTCATGTTGGGCATGTAGCAGCACATTAGTTAAGTTCACGCGTTGGGGCATGTAGTGAGTACATTAGTTATGTATGTTGGCATGAGGTGAGTACATTGGTTAAGTTCATATAAGTATGTAGTGAGTACATGAGTTTAGTCTATGTTGGGCATGTAGTGAGGCACATTAGTTAAGTGTATGTTGCGCGTAGTGAGCATATTAGTTAAGTGTATGATGGGCATGTAGTGAGTACATTGAATTCAGTGTATGTTGGGGTGAAAGAGTACATTAGTTAAGTCTTATGTTGGGCATGAAAGAGTACATTAGTTAAGTTCACGTTGGGCATGTAGTGAGTACATTAGTTAAGTGTATGTTGGGCATGCAGTGAGTACATTAATTAAGTTCATGTTGGGCATGTAGTGAGTACATGAGTTTAGTTCATGTTGGGCATGTAGTGAGTACATTAGTTAAGTGTATGTTGGGCATGTAGTGAGTACATTAGTTAAGTTCATGTTGGGCATGTAATGAGTACATTAGTTAAGTTCATGTTGGGCATGTAGTGAGTACATGAGTTAAGTGTATGTTGGGCATGTAGTGAGTACATGAGCTAAGTTCATGTTGGGCATGTAGTGAGTACATGAGTTAAGTTCATGTTGGGCATGTAGTGAGTGTATGTATATTATGTATGCTGGATTATGTATTATGTATGTATATTATGTATGTGCTCCATTTATATTTATTCAGCCTAGCTAGCAGCGTGTGGCAATGTTATTACCATATCCCACACGCTTAATTAATGTGCCTGGCGACGTATGGTTGCTAATGTATCACTTGGCCATACGTCGTCTATGGTAGTTGACCAGGACCTTGCTTAGAGCAGTGCTATTCAATTCTGTGTACATACTCTTATCCAGTAAAACCGAACCTACAAAACTATACAGGTGTTTGTGTTCTCTCTATAGAAATTATTACCCAGAACATCTAACAGTGAGTACATGAGGTGTATAGCATGTAGTGAGTACATGAGTTATGTATGTTGGGCATGTAGTGAGTACATGAGTTAAGTGTATGTTGGGCATGTAGTGAGTACATGAGTTAAGTGTATGTTGGGCATGTAGTGAGTACATTAGTTAGTGTATGTTGGGCATGTAGTGAGTACATTAGTTGTTATGTTGGGCATGTAGTGAGTACATGAGTTAAGTGTATGTTGGGCATGTAGTGAGTACATGAGTTAAGTGTATGTTGGGCATGTAGTGAGTACATGAGTTAAGTGTATGTTGGGCATGTAGTGAGTACATGAGTTAAGTGTATGTTGGGCATGTAGTGAGTACATGAGTTAAGTGTATGTTGGGCATGTAGTGAGTACATTAGTTTAGTTCATGTTGGGCATGTAGTGAGTACATGAGTTAAGTGTATGTTGGGCATGTAGTGAGTACATGAGTTAAGTGTATGTTGGGCATGTAGTGAGTACATGAGTTAAGTGTATGTTGGGCATGTAGTGAGTACATGAGTTAAGTGTATGTTGGGCATGTAGTGAGTACATGAGTTAAGTGTATGTTGGGCATGTAGTGAGTCATTGTTGGTGTTGTTGAAGGAGAGTAATCTGAGTTAGGTAGTGAGGAAAGTTATTATATCAGTATGTTGAACTGGGTGGGTAAGAGTACAGATCCCTGGTGGGACTCTGTTTGGAAGGATTTGGGCGCGAGATAGATAATTCATTATTGTGCCTTGAGCTTGGTGACTTCAGAGAAAAATAAATAAAATTTGTTATTATGTTTATTGTTGTGTTGACTAATGTTTATTGGTGCTGTATGAAGAGGGAGTTTGTTTTGTTGAAACTGTTGTTTTATGACTGGTGGTGGCAGGAACGGGCTTAGGGGATGGATGTTTTGGAATATAACTTGTTCTAAGATCTTGAAACGTGCTGATAGTGAACTTCTTGCTAATAGCGTTAATAAATTAAAGCAGTACTCGAGAGCATAACATTGTTATCCATCTACTTGCAGAGATTATCACTGAGATGCGCCAGGCCTTCTTTACCCAACTGGATACAGCACAAGGTAATGTTTATATTAAACTTTTATAAAGATTCGGTCAAAATGAACCTATGTACAAATGTTTATTTGCTCTTGTGCCTCTCATAAGATAATAATAGTTAATGTTTTTATATAGCAAGATGATTATTAATTAAAGGTTCTCCCAAGACTGTACAATACAACATCACAATGAACACGTGTTTAATTTGTTCCTCCTCAATGGTCAACTATCTGGCTCATAATAAACACTAATATATTCTTCAAAAAGTATTATATTGTTTTATTTGTTCTATTTGTTGGCAGATGTGTCGCAGACCTTGAAAAGGCTGACAGCAGCAACACAAGGTAATGTTCCCCAAGTTATGTAAGACCCATAAGGAATACTGTTGTATGTGTAACATGTTAGAGCTGTGGTTTAGTATACTGTAGGTTATTAATGTTATCACTAGAGTCACGTCATAATAGTTGGTCACTTTCCCACACAAGAGTGCCATTGGTCAGCTTAACGTCTTGTAGTAAGTTTTCTGACTGTTAAGTCACTACTAGTCAGTTTGTTCCTTGTGTTTTACTTATCCCTGATATAATTGTTGTATATAGTTTTGTGTCAACCTTGCTAATAGCTTTAGTATATTACAAGTTAACCATTTACTTACAGAAAGTAAAGAGATGGTCAAAGATCTGTCCCAAGCCTTCACTACCCACCTAATGGAATACAAACAAGGTGATGTTTCTTCCTCTCGTTTAATATGTACATTTGTTACCCATCAAACACAGTCTCAACTAACAATATATACACACAGAACAAGGTAGTTACTGTGTATAATAAGTCGTCATACAGTCATACACACAGAACAAGGTAGTTACTGTGTATAATAAGTCGTCATACAGTCATACACACAGAACAAGGTAGTTACTGTGTATAATAAGTCGTCATACAGTCATACACACAGAACAAGGTAGTTACTGTGTATAATAAGTCGTCATACAGTCATACACACAGAACAAGGTAGTTACTGTGTATAATAAGTCGTCATACAGTCATACACACAGAACAAGGTAGTTACTGTGTATAATAAGTCGTCATACAGTCATACACACAGAACAAGGTAGTTACTGTGTATAATAAGTCGTCATACAGTCATACACACAGAACAAGGTAGTTACTGTGTATAATAAGTCGTCATACAGTCATACACACAGAACAAGGTAGTTACTGTGTATAATAAGTCGTCATACAGTCATACACACAGAACAAGGTAGTTACTGTGTATAATAAGTCGTCATACAGTCATACACACAGAACAAGGTAGTTACTGTGTATAATAAGTCGTCATACAGTCATACACACAGAACAAGGTAGTTACTGTGTATAATAAGTCGTCATACAGTCATACACACAGAACAAGGTAGTTACTGTGTATAATAAGTCGTCATACAGTCATACACACAGAACAAGGTAGTTACTGTGTATAATAAGTCGTCATACAGTCATACACACAGAACAAGGTAGTTACTGTGTATAATAAGTCGTCATACAGTCATACACACAGAACAAGGTAGTTACTGTGTATAATAAGTCGTCATACAGTCATACACACAGAACAAGGTAGTTACTGTGTATAATAAGTCGTCATACAGTCATACACACAGAACAAGGTAGTTACTGTGTATAATAAGTCGTCATACAGTCATACACACAGAACAAGGTAGTTACTGTGTATAATAAGTCGTCATACAGTCATACACACAGAACAAGGTAGTTACTGTGTATAATAAGTCGTCATACAGTCATACACACAGAACAGGTAGTTACTGTGTATAATAAGTCGTCATACAGTCATACACACAGAACAAGGTAGTCACTGTGTATTTTAAGTCGTCATACAGTCATACACACAGAACAAGGTAGTTACTGTGTATAATAAGTCGTCATACAGTCATACACACAGAACAAGGTAGTTACCGTGTATAATAAGTCGTCATACAGTCATACACACAGAACAAGTTAGTTACTGTGTATAATAAGTCGTCATACAGTCATACACACAGAACAAGGTAGTTACTGTGTATAATAAGTCGTCATACAGTCATACACGCAGAACAAGGTAGTTACTGTGTATTTTAAGTCGTCATACAATCATATACACAAAACAAGGTAGTTACTGTGTATAATAAGTCGTCATACAGTCATACACACAGAACAAGGTAGTTACTGTGTATAATAAGTCGTCATACAGTCATACACACAGAACAAGGTAGTTACTGTGTATAATAAGTCGTCATACAGTCATACACGCAGAAGAAGGTAGTTACTGTGTATTTTAAGTCGTCATACAATCATATACACAAAACAAGGTAGTTACTGTGTATAATAAGTCGTCATACAGTCATACACACAGAACAAGGTAGTTACTGTGTATAATAAGTCGTCATACAGTCATACACACAGAACAAGGTAGTTACTGTGTATAATAAGTCGTCATACAGTCATACACACAGAACAAGGTAGTTACTGTGTATAATAAGTCGTAATACAGTCATACACACAGAACAAGGTAGTTACTGTGTATAATAAGTCGTCATACAGTCATACACACAGAACAAGGTGGTTACTGTGTATAATAAGTCGTCATACAGTCATACACACAGAACAAGGTAGTTACTGTGTATAATAAGTCGTCATACAGTCATACACACAGAACAAGGTAGTTACTGTGTATAGTAAGTCGTCATACAGTCATACACACAGAACAAGGTAGTTACTGTGTATAATAAGTCGTCATACAGTCATACACACAGAACAAGGTAGTTACTGTGTATAAAAAGTCGTCAAATAGTCATACACACAGAACAAGGTAGTTACCGTGTATAATAAGTCGTCATACAGTCATACACACAGAACAAGGTAGTTACTGTGCATAATAAGTCGTCATACAGTCATACACACAGAACAAGGTAGTTACCGTGTATAATAAGTCGTCATACAGTCATACACACAGAACAAGGTAGTTACTGTGCATAATAAGTCGTCATACAGTCATACACACAGAACAAGGTAGTTACTGTGTATTATAAGTCGTCATACAGTAATACACACAGAACAAGTTAGTTAATGTGTATAATAAGTCGTCATACAGTCATACACACAGAACAAGGTAGTTACTGTGTATAATAAGTCGTCATACAGTCATACACACAGAACAAAGTAGTTACTGTGTATAGTAAGTCGGCATACAGTCATACACACAGAACATGGTAGTTACTGTGTATAACAAGTCGTCATACAGTCATACACACAGAACAAGGTAGTTACTGTGTATATTAAGTCGTCATACAGTCATACACACAGAACAAGGTAGTTACTGTGTATAATAAGTCCTCATACAGTCATACACACAGAACAAGGTAGTTACTGTGTATAATAAGTCGTCATACAGTCATACACACAGAACAAGGTAGTTACTGTGTATAATAAGTCGGCATACAGTCATACACACAGAACAAGGTAGTTACTGTGCATAATAAGTAGTCATACAGTCATACACACAGAACAAGGTAGTTACTGTGTATTTTAAGTCGTCATACAGTCATACACACAGAACAAGGTAGTTGCTATGTATAAGAAGTCGTAACATTCGTAACCCATTCCCCAAATATGTAACTGTATATTTTCAGCCTTCTGGCTGCCAAGCTCTTTCAATAAACCGTTAATTATTATTATTATTATTATTAACAAGGTAATTACTGTGTATTTTAAGTCGTCATACAGTCATACACACAGAACAAGGTAGTTACTGTGTATAATAAGTCGTCATACAGTCATACACACAGAACAAGGTAGTTACTGTGCATAATAAGTCGTCATACAGTCATACACACAGAACAAGGTAGTTACTGTGTATTTTAAGTCGTCATACAGTCATACACACAGAACAATGTAGTTACTGTGTATAATAAGTCGTCATACAGTCATACACACAGAACAAGGTAATTACTGTGTATAATAAGTCGTCATACAGTCATACACACAGAACAAGGTAGTTACTGTGTATAATAAGTCGTCATACAGTCATACACACAGAACAAGGTAGTTACTGTGTATAATAAGTCGTCATACAGTCATACACACAGAACATGGTAGTTACTGTGTATAATAAGTCGTCATACAGTCATACACACAGAACAAGGTAGTTACTGTGTATAATAAGTCGTCATACAATCATACACACAGAACAAGGTAGTTACTGTGTATAATAAGTCGTCATACAGTCATACACACAGAACAAGGTAGTTACTGTGTAAAATAAGTCGTCATACAGTCATACACACAGAACAAGGTAGTTACTGTGTATAATAAGTCGTCATACAGTCATACACACAGAACAAAGTAGTTACTGTGTATAATAAGTCGGCATACAGTCATACACACAGAACAAGGTAGTTACTGTGTATAATAAGTCGTCATAAAGTCATACACGCAGAATAAGGTAGTTACTGTTGTTACGAGTTGGGGATTTAGAATATAGTTATACGTCTACCCAGATCCCAACAGGTAACAACAACAAAAAAAACAAAGACAATCGGACTATAAAAGGGTAGACAAAGGATGCGAGTTTTCGTTGTATATAATAGAGTACCATAAATTCCTTAACAAAATATTCAGCTTATAAATTACCCTTAACCAAACTTAACCTAAACATTAACAGTATATACATATTAATACAACATAAACCATTTTGAAGCAAGTGGACGTGGGGGAGGTAATACAAAATACAAGTACTTAAGTGAGGAGCTGAGATGGCTGACGAGTAAGGCTGAGTATTGTAGAAGACGGTAGGTAGTCACTGCACGTAGGTTTAGAGGATAGATGATCCTGTGGTCACTTCCCAGAGCCAAGTCCTCTCTCCTCGAATTGGAGCTGACAAAGAAGACTTGGAGGAAGTGACGCAACAACCAGGATATGGAGAAGAGAAACCCCGGAGTGGTAACTAAGACGAGTCATACTCGTGTCTCGTCCCTAGATGGCGTTGCTCGTGGTGCTGGGTTGGTAGATCAGGACAATAGATGGCGTGGTTCGTAGTGCTGGGTGGAGGGGTTCGTAACACACCCCCCCTCCAAAGACCTCCATAGCGCGGGCGCGAAGGAGGTGATCACCTGGTGCGTCTGGAGAGTGGCTGCTGCATTTCCACTGGAGCTCGGGATAAGGAGTCTGCAATCAGGTTATCGACCCCCTTTATGTGTCGGACTTGTAGATTATAGGGCTGGGTGAGGAGAGCCCAGCGGAGGATTCGCTGGTTGGAGGTCTTGTTGGTTTGGATGAACGTGAGTGGGTTATGGTCGGTGAAGACTAGGGTTGTTTGTGGGCAAGACTGGAGGTAACATTCAAACTTCTTTATTGCCAAAACCAGAGCCAAGGCCTACTTCTCTATGGTCGAGTAGTTGGTCTGATGTTTTTTCAACTTGGCGGAGTAATATGCCACAGGGGTGAAGAACATCAGTGGTTGGCCGGGTTGTAGGGAGCACAGCCTCCTTACCCGGACACCACTAGCGTCGATTTGCAGATGGAAGGGCGAGGTGCAGTCAGGGGTGGACTACAGGCTTGGAGGCAAGGAAGGCTTTGAGGCGGTGGAAAGACTGGTCGCACCTCTGGTTCCAGATGGGGTGGGACCGCAGAACTGGTAAGGTCTGTGAGGGGTCCGGCCACGCTGGAGAAGTTACTGC